GAAGACAGACGTTTTGCTAACTTGAGCTTCTACAGTATATGCGATGTGCTACTTTAGCTTTTAGCTACTGTGTTGTTTGGTTTTATCTAAACAATTCATTTAATTTATTCTTCAATAAATCTCAGTGAAATCAGTCTTACTTTATTATGCCATAGCCCAGGCTGACGATGATGACGAGTAACCGGGCCAAAGTTCTTTTGAGAGCAGAGACCAACTCAGCAAAGACCAACAAGCCTGGAGCTTAAAAAAATTAAATAACAAAATAAATTTAAAAAAATAAAAAGATCCTTTAAGCATTCTGAAATCATTTTAAGACACTCACAAGCGGAGCCAACAGCATTGGTGTTTTCATATTCAGCGCAGAAGACGGCCTTCTCCACCATTCCGAGGAAAATGACCCCCGCGATCCAGAACTGGATCCTCAGCAGATCCTTCCAGTAGCAGGCCGCCCACATGAACCACAGCAGAGCGTACAGGATGTACACTACGCACATGACCATGTAGAACTGCAAACAGATGGCAACGATTAGACGTCAAAACCAATCACATGTGGAAGGTTTTCATTAACGGGTGACCGACTTCCTGAATTTAACCACAAATAGATCGTTTTGTTTCTTTATGTTGAGGTTACATCAGGTCAGCTTGGGCTTTTAAATAAGAAGTTTAAAAAATAAATAAGAAAACTAGCAAGAGAGGACTGTGATGCTTTCTGTTTTAAACTGTAAGGCTATGTCCAAATTTAGGGGCTGCATCTTTTGAAGGCTGCCGAAGGCTGTGGCTCCTCCCACCGCGGCCCACAAATGTCCTTCTTTTCCTCTGATTCAAGAGATCGGTCCAGTGGATCCTTCTTCCTGCGGGCCGACTGGAAGATTTTTTGTTTGTTTGTTTGTAATGGCAGACGATGCAAGAGGCATGAGTACAGCTTTAAATAAAAATAAAATGCAGAATAAAATTTAAAGTTTAAAGCAGTTGTGTTGTTAGGTTTTTGTCCTTCGCATAAGACAAGAAGAAAAGTATTTTTATTCATGTCAAAAATGAGCTAGAGGCTGGTCCCTTAATTCTTCATGTATTGCCTCTAAACTCATTTTGTTAAATTATTATATTCATATAGAACCATTTAGCTACTTTTTATCTTCATTGCTTCTGTTTAGTTTCATCACAGTTGCAACGGGAATAAAGCTAAAGGTTAGACCATCCTAATTTACAGCCATATAGACCGAGTAACAGTGTTGCATTAAGTACCACAAATGATACTTGAGTAAAAGTACAAGTATCTTACCAAAAAAATTACTTTGTTAAAAGTTAAAGTCTACTTTAAGAATATTACTTGAGTAAAAGTCTGAACGTATCTGATATTTTTTGTACTTAAGTATTAAAAGTAAAAGTATTGATTTAAAATGAGCAGTTAGATTTTTCTGTAAGGACATTTATTAGGAGGTAACCTCCCCAAAACAATACTGAAATGACTATATTGTATTAAAATAATTAATTTATGTTAAATTTAGGATGCACTAGTCCAGCTGTTTCAGTTTATTTACATATATCAAGGCTGCAGAAAACTTTTCCTCAAAATTAAAATCTGAGGGCTGCGGTCAAATGCAATAATATAATTCTTGAAATACAAATACTTCTTAAGTACAGTCCTTTTATTTTAATGACTATGTCCTGCTGGAGTGTGACATGATTTGTTTGTGTACAAACTAATACGGTATCAGAGTTTTATATATTTATACTTCTCATTCAAACACAATTAAATTCACTCTATCTAGGGGACACAATTTATATGGATAGTATTTATTTTTTATAACAAGCTGGAATGAAAAC